CCGCAGGGCCTGCGGGGGCTCGATGTCAGGCAAAGCCCCCAGCACAGCCGGAGTGCGACCGACGCCTGGTGCGCAAAACCCCCAAGAGCACTTCCCGCGCCCGGCCAGCCGCACCCAGTGGCGCGAGGGGGCAGCCTGCTCCCAGCACTGGAAGGAATTTCTAGGGTACAGGCCGCTGGAGGGGGTGAGCAGCCCACCAAGCAGGGCTGGCTCAGCAGCTCCATCTCAGGTGCCACCTGGTACAGCTGGCGCCAGCCCCACAGCTGGGCGTGCTGCACCCGGGACAGAGCCAGCTGGCTAACCGCTGAGCTACACCCGTGCTTGTCGGGCCTGGCACTGGGCGGAACGCAGACGTAGGGATGAGCTGCTGGGGGAGGGAAGGCACAAGGTGGGGCCTAGAGAGAACGAGCTTGTCCCCCCCCGCCCGAGTCACTGCACGCGAGGCTCAACTCACAGCCGCTCAGAGTGCTGCCACCAGCTGTGCCCACAGGGTGGCTTCCTGCCCCTCCTCCCAGAGCAAAGACGAACCCCAGCTGCCTCGGAACGGTCTGACACAGGGAGCGGGACCGGGGGGGCTGCCTAGTAGCCCTGCGAGGTAGCCATCAGCCAGCAGTGGCGAAGCAAGGGGGCTAAGGCATGGCATTCCCAGCCTTGCTTCTGTGCTGCTGCAGCCACTCTGGCCGTGCGGCCCTCAAGGCTGTGCGCCCCCAGCAGCTACAGCCCCCTTGCCCCACACCCACGCGCAGGGAGCCAGCCCCCGCGTTCCCAGGGCTCTCCGAGGGGCAGGAGCCCCGCACACGCGCAGGGAGCCAGCCCCCGCATTCGAGGGGCAGGCCGGGAGAAGCAGCAGCACAAACTCCCCGGGCTCCGGCTCACAGAGGACGATGCCAACTCACCAGCACATCGAGGCCAAGGTGAATGACGTTCTTCAGGTAGCCCAGCAGCTTGTGAGCTCTCACCAGGTCGGCGCTGGGCGGGTCCTGCAGGGGGCGATGACCCTCCACCGGATAAGTGCGGGAGTGTTAAGGCAAGTCCCCACCGTGCTAAACAGGGCCGTGACTTCCCAGGTCACTGGGGCGCTGCTGGGACCCTCTCGTGCACCTCAGTGAGCGACCATCTCGGGGACCCGCAGGCCCACCCAGCTAGGAAGTACCGTTCCCGCACCGCCCGCCGGGCCAGGCCTGTTACAGCCCAGAGGAAGGGGCCACACACCGGCCCCTGGGGATTTCTACACTCGGGTGAGAGAGAGTGGAGGGGCCAGAGCAGTCAAAGGAGGCTGCTCCAGACCCGCAC